CATTGTACGTAAAATCTGCCACTAATTATTGCTACATTGTGCCGCATGAAATGGATCCGCTACTAAACATGCCATGCATTGGAGACTTATCTGTTACTTGCATGGTTGTGGAAAGGTAAGCATTGTTCTCTCTTTACTAATCGTCGTGGAGCAATGACTGATATTGGAGTACTGGCCTGCTTTCAGCTGCAGCTCAGACCTCATTATACACTGTCCTATACATATGGATGAGAGCCCGTATCACTGCCTCGTGGACATTACTTAATGTTCGATATAGAGCCCTGACAATAACACGTTAGAATTCACACATAGAAGAAGCCTTACTGCTGTGAAGTGAAAGATTGTTGTAAGTCTTTCTCAGATATATGACTTTAGCCCCTCAGGTGAGTGATGTGATCCAGCGCCTACTTAGCTATATGATTATTAGCCTAACGAGACTGACCGGTTCGAGCAGCCATCCAGTCTGGCCTGCGTCGTAAAAGACACCCACAGAAGCAGCTATCATTTGCTCCTAAAGCTGATTATAAGAGGAGGTACGTATGTGCTTTGTATCATGACAAGTATAGCTCACATGACTTACTCCCAGCTATTATTACCAAGCTACTTCGGCCAGAAACCAACACACATCTTGTAGGCTCCCTGCCAAATCAAACTATTGCAGTCTATACCGAATAAAGATTTGGGACATAGCCACGCGGACCGAGCGTATCTATCTTGCCCAATTTCCAATTTAGATACTGCTGTGGTACGTCGCTACCACCGTTGCACTCCAAACTAGTGGAGATTTGATCAATTATTCTTCATCTAGGGACTTGCTTAATCCTTCATCAGCGCAAAACTTGTGGAATTCAAGTGCACTGAAACATGCTACTTGATTGCAGTGGACACCATTCATGCTACTTCATGTATATCCAGGGCTGCTGCAATGGCCGCACAATAGCTGAGTCTTGGTTGCGTTACCGGCTTACGTTTTGACTCTCTCCTGCATACCTGGTTAATCACGTCGGGTATCTAGTTCAATACTATAGTATGAATGTCTTAAAATTAGACCAATGCTACAAAGTTCTCAAGCACTCACAGAGTATGTCAATATCTAAGAGGAGTTTGTTAAGCCTGAGGAACCTAGCGCTTGTGAAATTGTCCGAACCCGATACGCAAGAGCTGCGGATTCGTCAAGTCAGACCGACGTAGCAAAGCTTGTGTCAATAATATTTCATTGGCCTGTCACAGTATGTGGCTGCTGTGATACTGGGAGCTTCCAAGTACAACAATTGCGTGCTTGGACTTCGAAAGTTAAGGAAAACCAGCTATTCCAGTTTCTTATGCCAGGCGGTGGGGCTCCCGGATTACTA